CGTAAGATTTGTTAAATAAAAGGGAACTCTTTAGCTACAATGTATCAATGTTATGTTATAAAACAAATGGTAAACACCACAGCGTACACTATTGAGTTATGGATGCACTTGGGAGGTTTGCTAAGCACTCAAGAAGCTAGAGTCGCTCTCGGCTATCGCCTCGAGCGACTCTTACGCTTCTTTCGTGCTTAGCAACCTCCCGCGTGCATCCATAACTCAATAGTGTACGCTGTGGTGTTTACCATTTGTTAATTAGGACTTTTATCAAAACACACCTGTCCGGACGAATATTGGCAAAGTGACGACGCAAATTAGCCTAGACATTCAGTAGGCAGGGATAAAATAGTTAAATTCAGAGTATAATTTTACCTCTATGGCAATACAAAGATAAGAGACTTGCGCCCAACGTTTTCAGGAACAACTTCGGGCGGTATTCAGGACAGAGGGCACAGTTTTTTCCCCACATGAACTGATCTAGGATGGTGATAACATTTTTATTTTTTCCTAAAACTTAACGAAGTTCTTGCCAAAAGAACCAGAATGATTTAGGGCTGTAATTACGGCAAAATCATCTATAAACGGAACAATATTTTAGCTAGTAAATGATAGTTAAATCAGAGGTAATGCAAATTAAAGAATGACCGGGGCAAGGTTTCATCGAAACATGTTTATTTGCGTAATAAAGGTGACATCAAAGGCCCCCAAACAAAATTTGAAAAATGTTTTTGTGGGTACCTGTCACGATCTGACACCTGTCAATTAGAGAGCACGTAAGAGCAAAAAGCGCGTGTACACTTTCGGAAAAGAAAACGCTACCGGCCGGTTTCCCAAACAAACTCAAGTTCATTGGCTATCGCGACATTTTTTTCTACAAACAGTAAATGATCTTACGGAAAGCGTTATTCACTTCCATCGACAATTGATGTACGAAGATTAACCTCTCTGCTCAGTCAGGAAATGGCATGAAAGTAATTGTAAGCAAATTCAAATGTATGTTTGGAAGTTGCGAGAGTTTGCTCGTTTGTTTGCGTGTGTAAATCTGGTCTTTCTTCAAACGAAAACTCAAAGTACAATGAGACACTTAAACTAAACCCAAAGAAATTTAATGCAGCTTTTTACCGTTTAATTTCTTCGCTTTCTGTTGTAAAAATTTACGGTACAAATGTTCAAATTGAATGAAGGGACTTGC